AGTCAAGGCCAGAAAGATGGTATAGTGGGGTAGGGCGTTTGCCTTGCATTAGCCTGACCCAGATGTCATCCACAGGACCTCATTTGGTTCCCCAAGCCCAATAGGAATGATCCCTGAAAGCAGAGCCAGAAGTAAGCCCTGAGTACCACCGCTGTTTCCCCAAAAGCAAGCAAACAAAAAAATTGCATGAATTCATCAACTAAAAACTGTTGGAATAAAACAATATGTCACATGCCCCTCTCTCCAGCGATGATACTTTAAATTTTTTTAAATTAAAGCCATTTTAGGGGCTGGAGCAATAGCACAGTGGGTAGGGCGTTTGCCTTGCACACAGGCGACCCAGGTTCAAGCCCCAGCATACCATATGGTCCCCCAAGCACCGCCAGGAGTAATTCCTGAGTGCAGAGCCAGAATTAACCCCTAAGCATCTCTGGGTATGACCCAAAAAGCAAAAAGAAAAAAAAATGAAACACATTTAAAATTTTTTCTTTCATTTTGCTAAGAAGACCATGTGGAAATATGGACCCCTAAGACAACATTCATAGAGAATCACAGAACATCAATGATATTCGGGGTCACCAGGCCAACCCATTTATTCTACTGATGAGGAAACTGAGGTCCAGACAGGTCATTAATTGGTGTTGGAGTCAGGACTACCACACAAGCTCCCAATTCCATTATGTCTTACTTCACTGACTCCACCAAGCCCACATTTGCACCATGACTGACTATAAAAGTAGGTGGTGGTTTCTCACAGACCAGCCATGCCGAGGGCTCCACCCTCTTACTAAGCTCAGATATTTGCCATACACAAAACACAGTACTCAAGGCCATCACAAGGAAAGGAATAACTTCCATAAGCAAAAGGAGCTACAATCTTACTGAAAGAGAGACTATTGAAAATCAAAAAGGTAGTAGATATATTCAGTATGTCACAAATTCTTTAGGAAAAGAGTTTGAAGGCGTACATCAAAAATCACTGGAATGGCCATTCCTGTAAACCCAGCATTCTTCTTCTTTTTTTAAATTTTCTTTTTACACTTTTATATAAACATTGTGGTTTACAAAGTTGTTCATGATGATTTCTTACAATATTAGTCAATATTCTGATACCAATCCCACCACCATTACACCTTCCCTCCACCACTGTCTCCAATTTTCCCCACCCCTTAATCCTGTCCTCATAGAAGGCCCTCAATAATTAATCTTATACTGCTTTCTTAAAATCAATAATTGGTTAACAGAATAATCAAAAAATGTTTCTTTAGAAGAAGAAATTGTTGTATCTCACTATGGAGCCATAAAGTCCTTGTATAAGAGATTACAAGATGTTGTTACAGGTTAAGCCTTCTGTGTTTATATTTTGTTAATCTTAAGATTTAAACCAAGCATTCTTACTTGTGGAAAACTAGCATAAAAAAAAACTAACATAGAGGACAGAGAGAATAGTACAGCAGGTAGGAAGTTGCCTGCCTTGCACGTGACTCATCTGGGTTAAATCCCCAGCATCCCATATGGTCCCCTAGTGCCTTCAGGAGTGATTCCTGAGTGCAGAGCCAGGAGTAACCCTGAGCATCACTGGGTGTGGTCAATAAAAAAACCAGCAAAAAAACAAACAAACAATATAAAATACAGTAAGGCGCTTTACCTTGCACACAGTGACCTGGATTCCATCCCAAGCAGCATCTGGTCCCTCAGACCCCCCAGGAGTGGTCCCTGAGCAAAGAACCATGAGTCCGCCCTGAGAAAAACCCAGCATGGCCCCAAAACAAAACCTAGAATAATGAATATACGCAATATGCCCAAGAGTGACCCTCACTCCTCTCTAACCCTCTCACAGGGAAAAATGATGATTGGTAGTTTTTATTAATATAATTATCATCACCTAATTAACAGAGAAATTTCTAAATCCCTTTTAGACATGAGGTCTTTAGCTTTAGGACTAATCCCATTAAATCCTATCAAACCCAGTGGAACAAAAACAGGTTATTGACCTACCAGCACTCTCACCTCCCTCCTGATGGTGAGTCACTTTTCTAGGAAAAAAGTTTCATCTTGCTTTACCTGCTTCTCTCCTTCCAGATGTTGAAGCAGATTCAAGCTTATTTCTCTTCCCAGTCATTAATCCCCTCGTTTTAATTTTTTTTAGCAATTGTTTCATCAGAGCATCAGTGGAAAAAGCACATGTCCAACATCAAGGGAATGACTAAACCATAGGAGCTCTCTGCTTCTTCCATAATTCCAATGGCTGCAATTACTTAAAAGGTTGAAATGAAATGACATCAAGTCAGCTGAAAAGAAGTCCAACACCAACTCTTACTTACAATGATGTGAAACGCCCTAGAGGGTTTCTAAAAAGGGATATGCAGAATGCTTATGATGTTGATGTGATAGGATAATGCACAGCTTTTCCTTTCTTGTATTAAAATTTTTTGTTCTACAAAACACAACCCAACCGACCATGAATGGAAAACCATGGTCTCTGAAGCAAAAAATAAAAAAAGTAAATTTTCATGATGACTTATAAGGAACGACAAGTAAGCTGGATTCCCAATGAGCCCTGAGTATGCTGATCAGTCTGTAGTTAATAAGGGGTCTCTAGGACTGAGACATTTTATTTGCCATGGTCAGGCAGAATCCCAGAGACTTCTCAAAAACAGCATAAACAAATCTAATGAGCATAACAATGTTTAAGATGAAAAGCGTCCTGAAAACCGACATTGGAAAACCACCAACCTGGACCATTTTTATAAAGCTTAAAAAAAAAAATGTGGAAAGTAGGGTTTTTGTAGGAGCAAAAAATCCTACCAAGAAGATATTTAAAAACTAAAATTAGGGGCTGGAGTGATGTGCAGCGGGCAGGGCATTTGCCTTGCACACGGCTGACCTGGGTTTGATCCCCAGCATCCCATATGGTCCCCTGAACACTGCCAGGAGTAATTCCTGAGTGCAGAGCCAGGAGTAACCCCTGAGAATCGCTGGGTGTGACCCAAGAGAAAAAAAGGACACTAAAATTAAATGAACACGGGAGTTGGAGTGATAATACAGAAGATAGGGTGTTTGCCTTGCACACAGCTGACCCAGGTTCGATTCCCAGCATCTCATATGGTCCCCTCCAGCACTACCAGGAGTAATTCCTGAGTGCAGAGCCAGGAGTAATCCCTGAGCATCGCTGAGTGTGACCAAAAAAGAAAAAAATAACTAAACAATTAACTAAACAATTAAATGAACACAAATTCTCCAAAGGTGTCCTCGCACCCACCTGCTCAAATTACCTGGAATGAGCTAGTCCTTTATTTCAGGCCACAGGACAAGATGTAGGAAAAAGGTAAGTAGAATACAATGACTCCTACAAAGGGACAGATTTATCGGCACTTCCTCTGCTCTTGAACCTACACGTGCATGAAGCTACAAAGGCCAGTTTCCACTGTGTGCTCATGGGAACTAGCCCCAGCCCAACAGACGATTAGAGAGGGCCGACTGATTCGCCTTTTCAGTAGAGCAGATCAAGGAAAAGAAGTTTACTGCTTAAAGGGAGAGAGAAGTGACTTGAGAACTTCAAAGCAGGTAAACCAGGAGGGATGTAGAGAGGAACAGGCAGGAGCCGGACCAAATGGGAAGCCTGAACTCAGACTGAAACTGCCACTTGTTACGACTTGAACTTTGGCCATTAACAAGCGCCCTGATCACTTCAAGCAGAGGGATAAAAATTTTATAGCACTTCACCCTGCCTGCTTCATCCCTTTCTGGTTTGTAGGCTTGTCATGTACTTGTTTTCACTCTGTTGTCCAAGGTCAAGAGCATCTGAGCTATAAGAGGTCAGAAGAAATCAAAGAATTCTACAGACTCCAGTGCTCTCAACAACACTTTCCCTTCAGTTGAAGTGCAAGAGTTTTTTCGTTTTTTGTTTTTTTTTTCTTTTTGGGTCACACCTGGCAATGCACAGGGTTACTCCTGGCTCTGCACTCAGGAATTACTCCTGGCAATACTCGGGGGACCATATGGGATGCTGGAAATCGAACCCGGGTCGGCCACGTGCAAGGCAAACTCCCTACCCGCTGTGCTATTGCTCCAGCCTCTTAAGTGCAAAGAGTTTTGCAAGTACATCATTGCTATCTTTTATTTTTTTGGTGGGGGGGGGGGGTGGGCCTCACCTATCAGTGCTTAGGGGCTACTCCTGGTTCTGTGCTTAGTGGTTGCTCCCAGATGTGCTTGGGATACCTTATGGGGATAAGTGTTGGGGATATAACATGATTGGCCAAAGGCAAGGCAAGCACCTTACCCTGATAAGCACTGTACTTAACTCTCTCTTTCTCTCTTCCTCCTTTTCTTTGGGGGGTAGGGGGAAAAATCACACCTGGCAATGATCAGGGGTTACTCCTAGCTCTACATTTAGGAGTCGCTTCCTGGCGGTGCTCAAAGGACTACGTGAGATGCTAGGGATCGAATCCAGGTCAGGCACGTGCAAAGCAAGTATCTTACCCACTGCACTTATCTCTATAAGTATAATGGGCTGGAAAGAGAGCCCACTATACTTATCTCTCTTTATTATTTATTTATTTATTTTATTTTATTTTTGCTTTTTGGGTCACACCCGGCGATGCACAGGGGTTACTCCTGGCTTATGCACTCAGGAATTACTCCTAGCGGTGCTCAGGGGACTCTATGGGATGCTGGGAATCTAACCCGGGCCAGCCACTTGCAAGGCAAATGCCCTACCCGCTGTGCTATCACTCCAGCCCCTACTTATCTCTCTTCCAAAACCAACCAACCAACCATGGGGCCAGAGAAAGAGTACAGAGGGTAGGTGCTTGTTTTGCACAGGACTGACCAGGGTTTGATCCCTGGCATCCCACATGGTCCCCTGAGCACTGCCAGGAAGTAACTCCTGAGTGCACAGCCAGGAATAGTAACACCTGAGCATCACCAGGTGTGCCCTCCCCCCCCCCAAAAAAAAACAAACAACAATAACAACAACAAAAAAATTACCCAGCCTTTTAGTGCAAACTCGATCACTAACTCCTCATGATGTTGCAGAAGTGAGGAGAATCAAGTTTACTAGAGGAATTGCAGTGGTACTCATGGATTTGCTTCAGATCTTACAGAGGCTGCCTATTCTAACCTGGCACAGGGTAAAACAAAGTAAAACAAACCAAAAAAAAAGTGTTTTAGGGGCCAGAGAATAGTACATTTGCTCTTGCACACAACATAGCCCGTAACCTTATGCTGTCCCCTACGCCCATAAGGTGTGATCCCTGAACAGAAAGCCAGGAGTAAACTCTGATCACATCTAGATGTGACCCAAAATCCAAAGCATAAATTTATTAAATAAATAATATATTTTATTCAAATCACAATATACATGGGCTATTACACTTCACCTCACAATATACGTGGGATATTACACTTGGGTCTGACAAACCTCCATCAAATAGGAAGTTATTCCATAAAAACCCAAGAACGAGGAAACATAAATAGGGAAGCATGACAAGATCTATAAAGTGAAGAAGACAAGATAATTATATGTATTTTCCTTAGGTCTGCAAGATCTAAGACATACTAGAAAAAAAGAAAACAGAAATATTTGTAGAAACACAAAGAAAACTCAAAGCTCCCAATAAAAGCTTGCTGATAACTGTCTGGCACTGAACATCTTGGTCTTTAACAATATTTACTTAGCAAATTGAAATAAAATTCTAGGGAGATAGGTTTTTTTTATTTGTTTGTTTTTGGAGGGGAAAGTATCACTGTCATTGTCCTCCCGTTGTTCATCGACTTACTCCAGCGGGCCCAGCAATGTCTCCATTGTGATACTTGTTACTGTGTTTGGCATATCGAATATGTCACGAGTAGCTTGCCAGGCTTTGCCATGCGGGCGAGATACTTTCGGTAGCTTGCCGGGCTCTCTGAGAGGGGCGGAGTTGCGTGCAAGGCAAACACCTTACCAGCTGTGCTATCACTCCAACCCGGGTAGGGTGTTTGCCTTGCACGTGGCCAACACAGCCGACCCGAGTTCGATTCCTCCGCCCCTCTTGGAGAGCCCAGCAAGCTACCGAGAGTATCTCACCCGCCCCGCAAAGCCTGGCAAGCTACCCGTGACGTATTCAATATGCCAAACACAATAACAATTCTCACAGTGTTACTGGGCCCACTGAGGCAAATCGATGAACAACAGGAGGACAGTGACAGTGACAGTGATGGGGGGAGGGGCTGAGGCACACTTAGAAGTGCTTGAAAGCTACCTGTCTTGGTGCCCAGGGTCACTCCTAGTAGTGCTCAGGGGACCCTGCCCTTGTCCATTCCTCTGAACTATCTCTCCAGCACTCTAGGAAGTTTTCAACTTTGGAAAGAGATTTTAGTTCTTCTAAAGAACTTGACATATGAGGGATTAATTACATTGGAGGTGAGTTGCTATACAAGTTGACCACACCCTGCTTACAGCTCTTCTTCCTGTGTCTCCTTCGAAGGAGCATTATTAGAAAGTTAAAATTAAATCTGATTCGTGGTAGGGGTCCTAGCCGACCAAGAATTTCCCATTTGCTTCACCCCACAAATATATCCTAGTAAAATTATAAGCCCTATCCAGGATTCAGGGGCTACATGAGCCTCAGAATACATGTTGGAAAGAAAAGATCTCTTTCCCAAAATAACTATTTTATGTTGGGAGAAACTATGCCTGAAATGCAAGTGTGCTGTCAGAGGAAGCTGACACTGTGTGTGGATGAGGATGGGGTAACTGTGGTTTACTGGACCACTCACCCCAAAGATTATTCTGCTGGGGTTAGAGTTTATCACAGAAATCTTGGAACGGTTACTACAGGACCACATGGAAGATGAAAAATCCAAGATTCTCTCACCCAGCTGATAAAGTTAATGTTGGTACTGCTGATCAAAAAAAAAAAAACCCCACTTAAAAGACAATAATACTACAGTACAATAGGATAGGGGCTGGAAAGATAGCACAATGGGTAAGGCATTTGTCTTGCATGTGACTGACCCGGGTTCGATTCCCAGCATCCCATATGGTCCCCTGAGCACCACCAGGAGTAATTCCTGAGTGCAGAGCTAGGAGCCTGTGCATCGCCTGGTGTGACCCTAAAAGTAAAAAATAATAGATAAATAGATAAATAAAGTACAATAAGATAAAAGCTGTTACATAAATGAATAAAATTTAAAAGGTTTCAATTTTCCTTAGCATATCACCTTGAATTAAAGAAAAAAAAAATTTGGCAGTGCCACGGATTGCATTATGTTTCAAATAGGCATGGCTCTACCACTGAGTCACATTCATTCCCTGGTCCCTGGTGATATTTTCTTAAAAATTAATTAAAGAACTGTGATTTACAGAGTTATTGATAGTTGAGTTTTAGGCATATGATGTTTCAACATCAATCCCACCACCAGTGTAAACTTCCCTCTACCAGCGTTTCCTTATTACCTTCCCATCCCAATCCCACCCCATCCCTGCCCGTCAACTTGACAGGCACATTGCAGAGTTTCAGTGGCTGCAGCTTAGAACTTAGGTTTTCAGTATTGTTGAGTCTGAGTTCTGGACACCACTCTCCCGTATCACCGGTATAACTGAAGCCCTGATGCCTGCTCATCCTTACTTCCCGTTTTCTTCCTCCCCCTCCTTGATTTCTTTCCTTCTCTGTCTTTTTTTTTTTTTGTCCTTCTCCTCTCTGAATACTGGGGTTAAGGGTGATCTAGGCATCCCACCTTTACTACAGTACATATCCTCATCCAGTATTCTATGTTCCACATTCCACATATAGATGATTTGGTACTAGAAAGATTTGGTTACAGCTAATTGAGATAAAAGCTAGAGATGTTTAGGCAAGCAAGATTAAGTGAGCAATCGTACTTTTCACAGAAACTGCCACTATCTGTGGCCTCTTAAAATTGATCATGCTTAGGGCTGGAGCGATAGCACAGTAGATAGGGCGTTTGCCTTGCACGCAGCTGACCGGGGTTCGATCCCCGGTACCCCATATGGTCCCCTGAGCACTGCCAGGAGTAAATCCTGAGTGCAAAGCCAGAAGTAACCCCTGAGCATTGCTGGATGTGACCCAAAAAGGAAAAAAAAAATTGATCATGCTTCTTTGCTTTCTTTGATAAAAGCTTAATAACTATAACTGTTCTTCATCTTTAATAATCGCACGTTATATAGAATATTAATTCTTGTTTTATTTTATTTCTTTTCACACCTTTTATATCGATGTCCTCATTTTCTTTTTCTTTTTGGGTCACACCCAGCGGTGCTCAGGGGTTATTCCTGGCTCTGCACTTAGGAATTACTCCTGGCGGTGCTTGGGGGATCATATGGGATGCCGGGGATCGAATCTAGGTTGGCTACGTGCAAGGCAAACGCCCTACCCGCTGTGCTATTGCTCCAGCCCCCATGTCCTCATTTTTGTTTGTGCTCACGGATTGTTCTCTGTGATACTCATACTATGCTGGACAAAGGGACTGTGCTGGACAGATATTGAATCTGGCCTCTTTCGTGCAAAGAATGTATCTCAGCCTGTTGAGCTCTTGTTCTTATTTTGTACTTTATGCTACATAAAAGTTTTAAAGCCACCACTACATCTGTGTGTGTGTGTGTTTGTGTTGCAGTGCTGATGATTGAACTCAGGTCTCTTACCTGTAAAACTGGTACTTTACCATTCTCATGCAGGCAAGGCAAGCACTGGAGCCACATTCCTAGTGCTTATCTCTGAGCCTTTTTGAATATAAATGAACAGAATAACTGAGAGTTGATGTAAGTGTGTTTTGGTTAGCACAATGCAGATATGATGATTAGAATTCATTAACTAAATAAAGTTTAAATGCACATTGAGGGCCTATATTCTGATACTGAAATATTTGTATTTATTTCTCCTTATTTAAAAAAAATACAGGTGGGGCTAGAGCAATAGCACAGCGGGTAGGGCGTTTGCCTTGCACACAGCTGACCTGAGCGTCCCATATGGTCCCCCCGAGCACCGCCAGGAGTAATTTCTGAGTGCATGAGCCAGGAGTAACCCCAGTGCATTGCCAGGTGTGACCCAAAAAGGAAAAAAAAATACAGATAATTAAGAAATATTTTTATTCACTCGTACCAGTTCTCATTGCATTGCTGCAGTATAGAGTGTTTTTACATAGAAATTATGAAGATCAAAATGTGTAAATGTCATTCAAGATGCACTGAGTGGCTAGAAAGAATAACTGAAGAATTGTTTGAAATAACGCCTGCAAGTTGATTACCTGCAGAGTCAGAGTATATGTGCAGTGTCACAGAGAATGAGCAGGGTCTTAACCATTGACAGTTCTGAGTTTCCAAAGTTTCGAATATAGTTATGTTGTCATTTGAATACCTTTCGTAATTTTTTTTTCTTTTTGGGTCACACCCGGCTATGCACAGGGTCTACTCCTGGCTCTGCGCTCAGGAATTACCCCTGGCAGTGCTCAGGGGATCATATGGGATGCTGGGAATTGAACCCTGGTCGGCCGTGTGCAAGGCAAATGCCCTACCTGCTGTGCTATTGCTCCAGCCCCACCTTTCATAATTTTTAAAGTAAGCTCTTCTGTTACATCCAAGAGTATGTTCTTTTCTTTCTGCCTTTACATTGAGGTTGAACTTTACACATAGACTTTTAGGATAATTAATTCAGATGGGGAATTTTGGGTGAAATTATTTTTTGTGATGTACATCAAAACTTGCAAAATTCTTTATTTTTTTTGAAATTTTAAATTGTTATTTTTATTTTGTGGGTCAGCCGGCTGCGTGCAAGGCAAATGCCCTACCCGCGAGGTATCTCACCTGCACTGCAAAGCCTGGCAAGCTACCCATGATATATTCAATATGCCAAACACAGTAACAAGTGTCACAATGGAGACGTTACTGGGCCTGCTCAAGCAAATCAATGAACAACGGGAGGACAGTGACAGTGACAGTGATCATTCCTTGCAGCTGAATAACATTCCATTGAGTATATTACAACATGATGATTTTTTTTCTTTCTTTCTTTTTTTTTTTTCTTTTTTATTAGTGAAACACCATGAGGTACAGTTGTAGATTTACAAATTTTTGTGCTTGGATCTCGGTCATACCACGATCAAATACCCATCCCTCCACCAGTGCCCATTTTCCA